GAGGCAGGAGACTTGCTTGAGCCTAGGAGTTGGAGGTTGCTGTGAGCTGTAATGCCACGACACTCTACCCAGGGGGACAGCTTGAGGCTCTGTCTCAAAAATAAATAAATAAATAAAAATAAAAGCTTCCAAATTTATTCCTGACTTCTTAGTTCACAGTTGCAAATAATAATATTGAGAGTCTTATTTTTTTTGGTTATAAAACAGAGTAAAAAGTCTGCTTCCAAACCCAACACAACAGCCCAGAATGATAGATAGCACTGACATTTCATATAAATCATGACATTATAATTGAGTATGACGTAACTTCAACTTACTTTCTTTTTAAGTTGTCTAAACAAGTCTTTATGTAGGTGTCATAATAATTAATTTGCTCTTCATAAAATGCTGCCTTCTCATTAAGGGCCTTCAGGGTCTGCTGAAGTTTGGTTAATTCAGCTTTTCGAAGTTTACGATAGATTCTTTGATTTAGAATATCCTAAAACAACAAGTTAAAAGCTGTGAAACTTAAAAAGAATTACAAGAACGTTGCAAGAATATTGTCGATTTGGGACAAGGAGAATATCAAGTCACTGTTTATGTCTGTTAACTTGTAGTTTATCACGGGCACCTTACTTTACTCTTAACACCAAAGTGTTTCCATTCTTTTTTATTCCTAACAGGGAAGTGTCCATGTTTCACTTTAAGAGAGATGGGGATGGGTGCAGTTGCTCACGTCTAGGCGGATGGCTTGCCTGAGTGCACAAGTTCGAGACCAGCCCGAGCCAGAGTGAGACCTCGTCTCTAAAAATAGCTGGGCATGGTGGTGGGCTCCTATAGTCCCAGCGACTTGGGAGGCTGAGGCAAGCCCAGGGTGACAGAGTGAGACTCTGTCTCAAAAAAAAAGGGAGAGAGAGAGAGCCTGGATGGAAAAGCAAGGAAGTCATTTTAGAACAACCACAAAATTAGTTTAAGGAAAATAGTGTTTAAAAAGGGACACAATTAAGACTTCAGCAGGAGACTTGGAATTTCTTTAGACTATTTTGAACATAGTCTTTGAAGAATGCTTTCACCGCCAGCCACGTACACCTAAGGTGGCGGGTTCGAATCCCCAGCCCGGACCCGCCAAACAACAATGACGGCTGCAACCAAAAAATAGCCGGGCGTTG